AAAAATACAGGCAGGCAGCCTTGCAGTGTGGAGCCTCTTTCCTTCGTGCTGCCTCGGTCGCCTGTCGGTCGCGGTGCATCCACAGGCTCGCTCTGCCAGCACCAGAGTCTTCGAGACAGGTTTCAACTGATCTGGGAAACTTCATTCAGTTCCCTGCACCAGTGCCCCCTGTTAAACCCAGCATTCTCCAGTGTAGCTAAACCACCTCTGAACAGAACCATTTTTTTAATAGCTGTCTCATAAACGAATTAAGATCATGAAATCTATGAACGGGAACAATTCAGTGTCATAAGCAGAAGACATTCTGATGCTGAACCATTCTAAAAGATCTTCTTAGTTTATTACAAAATCCAGGGATCTACCTGGATAACAATTTCCAATACCTGCTGGTCAGATGTTTTGTACATTCATAACTAATCAACGCTGCCACTCAGCACAGTGCACAAGGAACCACCGAGCACTCAAAGAGGTACCGGAGTGCGGAGCAGAAGCTCAAGAAGCACCAAACCAGACACTTGGCAACATCAAGCCCTAGACTGGGACAATCTGAAGACAAAGTAATTGGGTCTAAAAAAAAAAAAACAACAACCAATCATAGGAATACATGTTTTTGTTTTGGGAGCCACTTATGAGAGAAATATTTAAATGTCATATAAGTTGGTTTAAGCTCCCAGCAGCAAGAACCAATGAACCAATGGGTACTGAAATACCAGGAATATGTGTAGACTTAGACTGCACTCTGCCCCTGTTAAGACACTGGGAAAAGATGAGTTGTTGTTCTGTGGCATGTGTAACTAGATTGTGGAATTTGTACGTTGGGTTTCAGGAGAATGGAAATGTTTGTTTGGAGTGAGGTCGTCATTATATTTTGCTGAAATAGTCAAGGTACAGTAAGAATTAGGCCTGTTTATAAAACTAAATCCAAGCCCTGTAGATGTTACGAACATTGTATGCCTTTGAAATTTGGGGTTTTTTTTGTTTTGCTCACTTCTTCACTGGCAAATATTTGGCAAGGACCAAAGGGAGCATGCCACACAGTAGAATGAGTTCATCACTAGCCACGTTTGACAGAGCCATAAAAATCAGGTAAAGGCTAGAAAAATACCTTAACTTCCAGCTAGTGAGTTCCCACGAGTCTCTTCCTACAACAGTAGCTTCTGCTTGTCCCTCTTCCAATCATGAGTGGTTCAGGATGTTCTGTCCTAACCACAAACTTTTGATTTTCCTGTTGATGCTGATATTTCTACCATGTTGAATAAGAGTGGAAGAGCCTCTTGCAGTACAGTGTCATGGCAAAGCCCAGCCCTGTACAGAAGTGCCATCCATGTCAGCACAGGAACTGCTTTGCACGCTCACCGTGATAATCACGGGTGATTAGCCTAAGCCCTCTGCCTATAACTGAATTTTATTCAGTGCAAATGAAGTGCAATGCACAGAATGTCCACTTAGTATAGAAAAAGTACAGCTTTATAATGTCAGCTCTGAAACAAACCCCACGGACAACAAACATGCTAAAACTATTCCTAACTACAGTGAGGAACGAAGCAGCAGAGAGATTGTTAGCATTCTGGATTGCTAATTAGTGCTCAAATATTGCTCTGGTGAAGCAGGATAGACACATAGATACGTCTGGTGAAGCCCACTAGGACTGCATAACGCGTGGTCTCAAACTGTATTTTGTCCTTCATAACTGATTTCCATAGCCAAGCTGTTTATTGTGTTTAAACATAAAATATTACCAACATATTACAAAATAAGTGAGAAGCAAGTAGATGAGAAACTTCGAGTTGTAGTGAAACCTGTGCTAACGTCTCATGATGGGTGAAGGAGTGCAAAGGACCAAACGAAATCGGAGCTACTAATCAGACACCCCCACGCTACTCCGTGTTGCTCTGTGTACTAGAGGTGTGGTAGGACGCACACCACGGACTCCACAGCCACCTCAGTCTCATCTGTACGCTGCCATCTCTCTGGGGCTGGCACAGCCCAAACCTTTGAGCAACTTCCAACAGCCATCATTAAAAAAAAAAAAAAAAAAAAAAAAAAAAAAAAAGAATTTACAACCGAGAGCGTTGTCTGGGTTCCTTTGTGTCGTTTATATTCTTCTCCTGCCCAAGGCAGATTTTTGGCCTGTCCAAGGAACAGGCTGTTCAGGCAGCAAAGTGCCCGGGTGGGCACAGGCTGAGCCGTGTCCTCGGACAGCTGCGTGTGCCCCAGGGTGCCAGGCCCCGCTCAGCAGGGCTGAGCTGTGCTGCCAAAACCCAGCCTGCCTGGAGCTGCTGCTGCACAGCCACAGAAACACCACGGGGCCTTTCCTGCCTGCTCTGTACCTGCCTCCTGGGGCACAGCTCTGATTTTCCAGGGCGTGAGGTACTCGTGGAGGTGTGTGGGGAGTGAGAACAGCCCCCTGCAGGTACAGGAGGTGGCACTGGGGGGTGGGGGCAGAGGGTGAGCAGCTGACCCTCTTCCCACAGTACAACCCCATTCACACCATTCTCTCTCTTTTGCCAAGATCAGCCCCTGGGCAGTCCTGGGGTGACCTGGACCTGGGCACAAACATCGGTATTTGTGTAAGGGGCAGTTCCTTAGTATTCCCACTCTTGCTGGGATCCTGTGTTCTGCTGCAGCAGCTGATCAGTGGAGGGTGGACTCACTGCTGCCCATCAGCTTGGCCAGAGCTCTCCATGATCCAGCTCCTGATCTAGCTCCTGTCCTGAAATGCAGCACCAGGACACATTGTCCCCACAGGGGAGCAGGGAACAGCAGAGCTAATTCAAGCCTCATGAGCAAGAGCCTGTTACAGGTGTATTCCTGTGATCCCATCCTGTATTGTACAGCCCCAGGGCCATTTGTCCAGCCCAGGGACTCTGGCACAGGGGGACCTTAGAGCAGCCAACTACACACACTCCCTGCACTGCACTCAATATCCTATTTGGTTTTCCTCCAGTTTTTGACTACTTCAAATAATTTCATCACCATTAAGGCTGATTTTCCCAGGTAAGTTAGAAATTTGCTGGTATATAGGATAACTACTGTCAGAAAAGTTGGTCCTCCACTAAGACAGATTAATTATTCCTAACTTGTAATTAGTCATCTCATTTCACGGCTCGCTCACCCACGGTCCTAAAAGCCTTTGGCACAAAAACCTGCCAGTGCAGTACAACAGACCTTCTTCATATCCCTGTGGACTCCTTTAAAGAATTGCACAGATCTTTTGAGACATGACTTGCCATTAAAACACCACATTTATGCTCTCTCATGATCCATGTTTCTAAATCCATTTTTTATTATAGTTCATTTTTCTTGTATACAGGTCCATCTCACCAATTCAGAATTCCCACAAACCCATGTTTAGAACAGGTACCATGTTTGCCACCTTCCAGTTCCCAAGCTCCCAGGTCTCACCCCAGTTGGCAGTGCCCTGTCCTGCCCTGACTCCTGGGCATATCACAACCCCCAACACTGCACCATCTCTCCCACTTAAGGATTTGGATTACAGAGTGGATTATTCTTCTCATTTACCTCTAAACTGTCTTTAAGACCTAACACAGATCAAGGTCACCAGTGCAAGCCAGGATACCTGCCTGGAGACAGGAATGAGAAAAAAACAGTGACAGGAGTTGCAGGGGAAAATTTCAGCCTCCCTCGCTTCCCATGTGATGAACACAGGCCAACAGGGATGGGAAGAGTCAGAATCCTGCCATGTCCACCCAGGAGCTGAGCACTGTGAGGTGACCAAAAGGAAGCAGCTTCTCACTCTGAATACTGAGACAGGCTGAGAGGAGGAGACCAGAGTCATGCCAAGAAAGGTGGTGCTCAGTATCAAAGGGCAGGGCTGCTCTGATCAGAGACTATGGCAATCTTTATTCAACAGTTTAAGGAGCAGCCTTTAATCAACTAAAACTTACAAAGCCTTCCCTAAACATCCAGACAGTAGAACAAAAATAGAAGTTTCCTTAATTTTTCACAAAGCCCGAAGCACCGGGGCTGAAAAGAGCTCTGCCCACACAGCCCTCAGGCAGCAATCCTCAAGGGAACCCTCTTGCTGAGAGCAATCCAGCCATGAGGGAATGGCTTCCTCTTACCCTCAGGATGGGAAATGGAGGCACTTCTATGCCTTCAGTGCACCCTCAGGGGGAAAGCAGAAAAGCAAGTGAAATGAGAGATGGGTGAGAAAGAGCTGTTTGGAAGGCAATCACTACTTCTACCCAAAAGCAGCATCCACAGCTCCTTCCCATCATCACTCCTGGGCATGGGTAGAGGTCTTCAGGAGGAAGCTCCCAAATCTGTACCCTCTGACTCAAGTGACTGCTCAGAACCTTTGTCCCCAGGGTAACTCCAGATGAGGTGGTTCAAATTCAAAATAGGGGTTTGCTGACTTCCAAGGGTTTCCCAGTGCAGGAGGTGAACTCCTGCAGGACAAATTAGGCCCACTGGCCATAGTGTGCCTTTAGGGCTCTCTCCTGCAGCTGCCTCAGGAGCAGCACAGGTGACACCAGATCAAACTCTGCTCCAGGCACTCCCACACTGTTGCTGTTAAAAGCCCTTGGATTAACTCTAACAAACTCCAGGTTTTATCGACATGGTCACTTCAGAATCACCATTCCCATGGGAACAGCTCAGGGCAAAAGAGAAGGTGATGGCTTTTAGATTATTTTGTGGCAAGTAAAATCCTCTGTTGTTGGTACTGGACATCCAAGGGGTTCTTTTGTCTACCTATAGCAGGAACACCATCAAGCAGCTGTTGGTACTGGACATCCAAGGGGTTCTTTTGTCTACCTATAGCAGGAACACCATCAAGCAGCTGTGTGGAAAGAGATGGCAGTGCATGTAGTGCCAAAACAAACTGCTGTGCTGCAGGACACTGGTGCAAGACTTAAGGCAAAGCATTCTCTAGTGATCAACATAGAGCCATAAGAATAAATATTGTGGGTAACCTGAGGGGCTCAGTCAGCACCACAACACCAGAAAGCAGAGCTGAAGAACTCGAGAACATCAGCAAAGGGACAGAGAGCATTCCTTATTTGTATCTTATGCATGTTATTTGTCAATACTTAAGTTTACAAAACACTACAAAAAGTTGATTTTGCAGCCTCTTCCTTGGGTCAGAAATATCATCAGGAGGTCTGAATGCCTGTGATCCACAGTGCAGCTCAACACTTCACTCCTTAGGAGCTTTCTGGGAAGTCGGAACCAACGCTGCTCATGTCAGGCTGAAACACAAAACAGAAGGGAAGTTTGGCAGTGCCAGGGAGTGCAGAAGGCATTTCAAAACACCAGTACAGTCAGTTCTCACCCTCCAGTTACAAAGGCCCAGCAGAAATTCCCCTTCCTAGAAGAGAAGGGCCTATGGAAAGAGGGAAGCAGATGTTGTGGCTGCTAACAGGCAGCCACAGGAACAAACCTGTCAAGCTGGCAAAGGTAAAACACACACGCAGCCTGGCCCAGGGAGTGATTAACAGTTCAGAGCAAGTTTAATCATGGCTCTGATATGCTCAGAGACATCCAGGCTTTGTACCAGAACTGTAAAGGGGCAGAGAACTCTTTCGAAGTGTTCCAAAGTCTAGGAAGTTGTTATGCCATAAACTATTCCCAGAAATTCTTATGATACCCGAGAACTCGGCCACTAAGTTACAATGCTCTGGTAGCTCAGGAACACACTTTTAGCCCCACAGCAATGGTCCTCAGAGCTGTAACTAATGAAAGCCCAAATGCAGTTTGCAGAGGACACTGATCTACGTGCATCCTAAACCTTGTGAGAACATTTTCATACATAATGAAAGGGGAAGGTCCTGTATCATTACTACTCCAGGCAGAAAACGAAGCTCGCCTCGCATTAAAAGATAAGATGGACAAAGCCTTTGACAAAAAGGCTTAAAAAAAAATTCAGGTTGGTAGTTTTAAATTAAAAAGATTTAAGGCAGCAGCAGCAGCTGACAAGCCATAAAGTCTTTCTGGCTCCAGAAATGGTTGTAGCAAGCATTTGAAATAACTTTACGTGGGTTACAACAATCAAAAGCCAAGATGTCACACAAAGTCACTGGCATTTTAACTTTTAAAACAAGGTTTGTTTAAAAAAAACCCATTCATGTCATAGCTAAGCACTGAAGAGGTAGGGAAGCAAACCTGACAGCTGAAATGGATGTGGCTTCCCACAAAAAGGATTCTCACTGCTCGCACATTCCATCACCCAACTGCTGCCAGTAACCAACAAAAGGAAGGAGGCAGTAAGAAAAGGGTAATTAAAAAAAGATAAACCAACTGCAAACCCATCAACTTTATGATAAAATAATAGTTTCTAACAAAATCTGTGCCCAGAGCTGGCTCCCCCTCACCTGTCAATCAGGGAGTCCCTCATGTTGGTGGCGATGGTGCTGGGCTGGGCCTCGTTGAGCTTGAAGATGTTCTCGATGACGGAGAGCTCCGTGCTGGTGGTGTCCAGCCCACAGAAGGCACACCAGTCGTTCACCACCATGCCCGCCGCGATCACCTCGCTGCCGCGGTTCACCGTCCCCGCCTGCGGGCAGGGCACAGCGTCAGCCACAGCACAGCGCCTCACCTGCGGGCAGGGCACAGCGTCAGCCACAGCACAGCGCCTCACACACCTCTGGCAAAACCTTTGGGGGGGGCTCAGCTCATGCCCCTGAAGAGCTGAAAGCTCCTGCCCCTCAGCAAAGCCCAGGTGAGATGGTTAATGAACAGCCTGCAATGTGTGTGGCATCCAGGGAAACAGAGTCCAGCCAGGAGGAAGGAGGATGGCACAGCAACAGTGGCTGAGCACATCCAACTGAGCAGGCACAGGGGTTTGTTACTTAATTTTTGTAAACACTGGCTTCAGTCAAACCAGACAACCTCATATTCTGTGTCTGCACCACACACAATCCCAGCAGAAGCAACATGTCAGGAGCAAAGCAAAAGCACTGAGCAGTTTATCCAGACTCAGGGAAGACAGGGAACTGTCTCAGGAGACTTGGCCTGTTCAAGTTTTCCCTCATCTCCCACTTGGAATTGCTCTGCAGAGAAACAGCATCCAGGAGCCCATGAGATAGAGCCACACTAGAACTGGGCTGGGAGGGAGTGGGAAAGGCAAACACAAACCCACAAAAGCCTTACCACAAGTGGGACCTGGAGCAGTGAGGACAGTTCATCCTGGTCATCTATTGAAGTTTTGGGGTGCACGAGTCCTCCCTGGTTACTAAAAACACAGTAACTTCCCACCAGCACCTGATCTGCAACCGTTTGCCTGAAAACCTCCACCTTCAGCACATCTGCCAAGATCTCCTCTGTCTCCTGCCAACAGGAAGAGAACAAAGCCTTCAGTAAAATGGCACCGTGGAACTGGAAGTCAAGCTGTTCCTGCACACAGCCCTCTGAGAGCCTCCCACTCTGCACAACCCATTGCAACCCAGCCAAGGTAAAACACAAACCCAGCCTCCATATTCTACATGTTCCCAGTGTCACCACAAACACAACCCTGTGCTATTACTGGGAAATGCCCAAATCCCCCCTCTTTCTGCTGGCAGTACATCAGCTGTGTCAATGCCTGTTCTCCGAGCATTCCCAGTCCTCCCAAACCACCATGACAAAGTCATCTTATCCTTCTGCAGAACTCTTAAGAACTTCCTTCCCCTCCAGGTTTCACTGTGAACTATTTTGGTTTCTCTCTGCCCATCTTACCTTACTTTTTGTGCTTATTTAAAACATATTATGCTGCAAAGCCCATTACCCTTATTTTTCTTTTCCACTTGCACTCCTAACACCAAGTCCCATCTCTTCTTCAGATTTAGCACCAGCTGAAAGCAAACACTGTCATGACCTGCAGCTCCACACACCTCTTTATGCTATTAAGGTATCAGTTCTCAGACATAAAGTAGCAGCAACTTTGTCTCCTTTGCTCTTATTTTAAACTTTCATTACAAAACTTCTTGTTTTTCTTTCAGCCCTCTGTAATCACTCACAACCATGGCCTCTTTCAACTGTTACAGATTTTGGGTAGCTCAGCTGCAGCTTCCAACTCCTGCTGTGATCCTCAGTGCCCTCCTCTGGGTGCTCTTTATTACCCTCTAATTCGCTCAGTTTTACCACCCAAAGCAAACTGCACCCAACGATCATGGAATCACAGGATGCTTTGGGTTGCAGGGGCCTTAAAGTTGATCTCATCCCACCCCCTGGCATGGGCAGGAACACCTTCCACTAGCCCAGGTTGCTCCAACCTGGCCTTGGACACTTCCAGGGGTGGGGCAGTCCCAGCTTCTCTGGGCAACCTGTGCCAGGGCCTCCCCACCCTCACAGGGAAGAATTCCTTCCCAATATCCCATCTAACCCTGCCCTCTGTCAATGGGAAGCCATTCCCCCCAGTCCTGTCCCATGATACACACTCACCCCTCTCATCCCCCTTCCCTTCTCCAGGGCTGACCCAGAGGCCACAAGCACAGCCTGGGCACTGCCTCCCAGCCCCCCCGTGCCCACGGCAGTGCCCCAGGGCCCCATACCCTGTCCAGGTCGGGGTGCACCAGGGCCACGTAGTCGTTGCAGGTGGTGACGTTGCCCAGGGCCGAGAGCCGCTCCTCCACCCGCTGGATCCGCACCGAGTCCGGGAGGCTGTTCCGGATGTGCTGCAGCTCCTGGTCTGTCGTGCTGCTCGGGACCAGCAGCCCGTGTCTGTTCCCTAAAATGGCAAAAAAAGAAAGCAGAATGGAATAAAGAGAATGTTCCTAGGGGTTTTCCAGCACCTCCCTGCTGTTCGCGCCCTGCCCTGACTCAGCGTGCTCCTCCCAGGACCCAGCCCAGGAGATTTGTTACCATTTAAAAATAACCAGCACCACGGGAAAGAAAAAAACAGCGTGAGGCACCGGCTGTGGGGGAGTGGCACTATCACAAATCCCTTTCACAACAGGAGTCGAGGAAGCTTGAGGTTCTCAGTGAGACCCTTTGACAAAGAACTCCCCGTGAAGATGCCAAGTGCTCCACGAAAGGTCCGGGTGCTGCTGTTCGTGTGACTGTGGCAGCACCGTGGGATGGTTAAAGGAACAAAAAAACACTCGGGCATTAGAACAGCCCCCGGGGTCGAGGGACGC